CCTGCTCCACCTGCAGCTGCATATTTCCTTAGACAGCCTGAACCTCATAGATGGGATTCTGAATTCTGTCTTGCAAAGAGGTACTCATTGTTGTCCTCACACCTTTGTTCAATGAGAAACACAAGTGATTTAGTCTTCTCCCTGGTGAGAAGCACTGGCACTTTCTGACCCCTCATCCCTCTGATCACCAGCCTGGTAAACTCCACACTCAAACCGTGTTCCAGTTTGGAGAAACGCTGCATAATGTCCTCATTTGTGTTGTTTGTGTTGTCTGTGGCCGTGTCCCTGGAGGTCAACAGAAACATTTTTGCCACCGCACCTTGTTGCCTTCGGTTAAAAAGTATGGTAGGTGAAAAAAGGGCCTTCACTAAGAGTCTTGAATGCTCTCGGGTTAGATCCTTCCAAATCTCATTTTGGCCTCCTCCTCTGTGGACTTCAGAACTGTATGAAGCATCTCCACATCCTCTGTGAGTGGGAGTATGCCTCTTCTGTTCCACCAGCCACATTTCAGTTAACGAGCAGATCAAATTTGGATGAAATTCAAGGAAAACACAAATAGAGAAGGAGATTATCTTTTAATATCAATTATTCATTTCACTAACAAGGATCACGCCAATAACAGTATGAGTTTAGAGGTTTTATTGCGTAATGAGATGATTGTAAGACTGGAAGAGGAAGGGGTCGAGGGATGAAGGGATGTAGGGTAGGGGTCGAGGGATGAAGGGTAGGGGTCGAGGGATGAAGGGATGAAGGGTAGGGGTCGAGGGATGAAGGGATGAAGGGTAGGGGTAGAGGGAGAGGGAGGAAGGGTAGGGATGAAGGGATGAAGGGTAGGGATGAAGGGATGAGGTGGGGGACCGTTGGTGTCCGGCGCTGGTGGGAACGGAGACTGTTGGGTGGGGGCCGTCTCTTAGGAATCTCTGGCGGTGCAGAGTCCCCTGTCGTTCCTGTAATTCTGCAAGAGAGAGAGAAAAGGAAAACACCAAAAACGGGGTTGGGGGAGGGATGAGAGAACGGAGTCGAAGAGGAAGTGAACGGGTTCGTTTGAGCTTAAATACTTGTGCCGGGGAAATGAGCCAGGTTCTGGGCGTGGTCCCGTTCCTGAACTAAGTTTATAAAACTACATTTAAAGAATAATACACTTTGTTGCACATTTGAAGGCATAATTGTTCATCAGCAATATGATTTGTGCTAAAGTAAATGTGCAGTGAATGATGAGCATTGAGCAATGTTTCTCAAATGAATGATTTATTTACTTTGTGTCGGTATAAATCAAAGGCGGAAAATTATAATCTTTTTTTCCCCAAAAATTGGCCTTAATGTCACCTGAACATGTTTCAGCACCTTATATTTTAAGTTCACTAGTCAGACAGCAGCTTTTTATAGTACTCATGTTGACCCCGACAGACTAACATTTAGTAATTAGCAATTTAATTCTAAATCAATCCCACATGGACAGGATGTAGGGTAAGCGTTCCTATTAAACCCACTAAATCTGCTTTTCAGAATTTTTTAATATATACTACCCCAATTTTGTTCAAATGAAAGTCTAATTTATACCAATTTTCTAATGTATTTATTATGTAATTTGTCAAAATATGTCAAAAGTCTGGCATGGGCTTAGGTACGGGATGTAAAACTATATACGTATATATGTAGAAAATCTATCAAGGACATCACAGATAACCAGTTAAACTAGAGCCAGATTACATTCAGATTATCAAAACATAGTCAAATAAAAGAGTAAACTCACATCTTGGAACAGGTCACTGAACCCATGGAGCATGTGCAGCTTGTCACCATAAAGGCCAGTTCCTCCTTCCCTCCCTCCCATCGTGGCGTACATGGCTCAACACTGTGACACTCTGGCAGTGGGGAGATTGCTATCAGATAATTCCGAAACAGTGAGAAACCCCTCATGAATGCTTCTTTTCCCTGAGAACTGCACTGCAGCACAGTAGTTTGTAGCTGTGATCCATGACAGCAGATACATTCTGTGTTTTGTTTCCTAAACCGTTGAAGTGCGTAGTTTGGGAACTCCCAAACTACGCACTTCAAGCAGAAACAAATTGAAATGTAACTCATTGACACAGTTAATCTCAAATTGATTTTCAAAACAAAGGCTACAATGCACAAGAGAGCCTTTGAGTGAGGGTTCAGGAATAAGGACTGAAATGCAGACACACAAGAGTGAGGCTGAGGAACAAAACAATCTTAAATTGATGAAAGATTTAAAAGCGGTATGGTAGGCAGGGAGGTCTCTAAAGAAGGCAAGAGGTCATGCACGCAGACAGGTCAATCAAAGACGGGGCTCGTCTGTAGGGAGCAGGTCAGTGGGCGGGAGACTGATGAGCTGATGGACTAGGGTGAGAATGACACTGAGAACAAATGGTGGGAAGGTGAGAAAAAGGGTCTAGAAAGACCAGAGATGATTAAAGTCTGGCAACTGGAGAAATGACCTTAGAAGCAGATGAAATGATGAAACCATGACACTTTGAACATAACAATTATACAGCCTTACAATCACATCCAAGGAATACATTGGAAATACCCAAAGTAATACTTGCTAAGAATACAGACTGTTTGTGAGGCTTTTTGAGAACAAACAACCAAAAGAGGCTTTTTCATCAGTTGAATTGTGTAGGTGTCCTCACCATTACCAAAAGTGCTCAACTAAGGTGCCAAAAAACTAATTTTGTGGCATAAATATGCACTTCACAAACCCCTGAAATACACTCTAATGCAATAGTCCTGAGATGAATTTCAGCTTTGTGAAAGGTCAATGTGTCCTGATACTGTGAGACCTTTTTCTATTGAAGTGGCTACAGTTGATTGTGGTGTTGACCTGCTTTATTTTTTCAAGAGCTTTCCAATATGTTGTCAAAAATATTAGGAAAGCATCTGGGACTCACTGTGGCAATCGAATACATAACATAAACCACATGCCATACTCTAGTCTTTATTATTTTTCTGTGAACTGCCTCGCCTCTACCCCGCCACCCATGAGTTGTTGCCCCGCGGCCTGTTCCGAGGGCTGACAGACCTGACGATGGGGTGCCTCACGGCGGGGGCGGCTGGAGACCTCGCGTCCGGCGCCAACGGGTGAGCGCCCGCCACTCGGAACCATAAAACCAAGTCCCGGATTTCACCCGGGGGACATTCTGGAGGTATTGTGGCCGGGTGATGTGCCTCGTTGCTGGGGAGGTATGAGCCGAGAGTGGCGGGGTGTTATGGAGGCATATTTTATTTATTTGTATCCATCTAACCCTAACCCTAAAAAACCATAACTTCCACTAGGAAGCCACGTCCCCACCCAAACCTAACCCTTAAGAGAGTCACGGTTACTCCCGGATTTTACACGCGGGCCTTTGTGGCGGTATTGTAGCCGCGTAATGTTCCTCGTTGCTCAGACTGGATGAGCGCGTTTCTGCCGGAGACAGGCGGCGTGTTGTGGTAGTATTCTGACCGCGTAATAGGGAGAAGGAGAGGCGGTGGTGGAGAGGGAAAAAATGTTAAAATGTTGATTAGAAACGTATTTGTAATAAGTCAATGTAATAAGTCAAACACAAACGTAATCAGGAAGAAAATACGTTTTTGGTCAAACGTAATTGAGAATGCATTTTAGTTTTGGGGGAATGTAATTTTTAGGAGATGCAGTCGCATTGCCTGGTGCAGAGGTTCTGGCTAACAGCTGTCTGAAGCCCTCTTATTTACATCGCCACCTGAACACCAAGCATGCCAGTGCAAGTCAAAAGCCCCTTACGTTTTTTATATCGAAATTGGAGGAGTTACGAAAACAGCCCAAAACAACTGCAGTCTCATTCATGTGTTGGGTCTACAAAACACGCACTACGGGCTTCATATCTGGTCACAGAATAGCAGGAAAGGGGCTACCTCACACAATCGCCGAGACGTGTGCTTGCCAGCTGCCAAAGAGATGGTGGAATGTATGATTGGAGAGAGAGAAGCAAACAAGTTAACATGATCCCGGTGTCCAACAACACTGTTGCGCAGCATCAATGCTTTGTCCGAAGACATCCTGGCTACATTAGTCGGTCGCGTAAAGAGTGAGTTTTACTCTCTGCAAGTAGACGAGTCTACACATGTGGCCAATTTGGCCAATCTTCCGGTGTATGTTCGTTACCTTTTCGAAGGCACGGTGCAGGAAGTTTTATTGTCTTTTTTGTGTTTTTTATCTCGTAAACAAACGCCACGCGCGAGCAAACTGTTCTCTCATTGGTCCGATTTTTATGCGGCTATAAATAGGCTATGTTGCTTTTTTTTTTTTTTCAATATGTACCGAACATACAGAGAGTTGAAAAAACGTTTCTCTCCAGTCCAACATATAAGTGAATACAGATAATAAGGTGCAAAATAGATAAAGAAAACATTTAGACAACATATATATTAAGAAAAAAATAAATAAAAAAATTCAAATGTGTTCAAATGCAGATCATTCATTAAAACCGATGGAGCTCATCTGATCATTGTCCTCGTGTGGACCAGCCAAATGTCTTCACAAGTAAACATGTCCTCACAACAAAGGTGTTTTGCAAAAGGACTGGTCCACACAAGCACAGAGAGGAAAGACAGACTCAATGAGAAGATCTCTGGTTGCCTCTCATTACCAACTGCTTTCTGAATCACAACCAGCAGGGGGCAGCAGGTACCGCGTGTCTGGGTTACCATACCTCCCGAACGCCTCGGCAATCCATGCTCTGCAAAAAGTGTCCAGCGTTCCAAAGTAAGAACAACTTCCGAACAGACCTTTCATATTAATACAGTATGTGTTCCGGAAATGAACAGAAGGTGTGTTAATACAGAGTGATACATCATAAGTCATATTCTAATATCATAATAGTATGATGTAAACAACATTTGTCCTGCAGCAGCAGACAAGTTCAGTATAAACAAGCTCTAAAGGTGACGCGAACTCCTCCTCCAAACAACTTGCGCTTTTATTTTGAAGTACACATCGCTTGCATTCCGGTCCTATTCTGTCAAAGTGTTGTTAGCGTGATAGGCTACGGGATCATAGGAATGCCTAATTCTACCAGTAATGTCGGCGTCTTTACCCCAAGAAACGGAATTAATTGAGAGACACGAAGAAATGTGAGTCCGTCATCTTTAATATTGACCAGCATTGAGCCCGTTTGAGTCTGTGAGTCCTCCATGTCGAGTACTGTCACGAGTCTCCAGTCCAGACAGTTAGCTTAGCTAGCTGGAATACTTTAGGTAACGTTCACATTTACTCTTTAAATAGTTGTGGAGATGGAGTGGTTCCGGTGAGGCTCTTTCCCCTTCGGCTGTCAACTGTTGCCACATTGCCAACAAGACTGCGGTCAAGTCAGCAGACACTCAGATCTCCGTGGTCAACTCTGCAGACACTTAAATTGTAGTGCACCTATACGCTGAAACTTACGGTAAACGCAACCAAACGGCATAGGACGGAGATCTGAGTGTCTGCTGACTTGACCGCAGTGCCAACAAGCAATACATTCTCAGTGGGATATGCCATTCCACGTGTTTCAAAGTGTAGAAAAAGCACATCTCCGACCATGAAACAGCAGCGTTACCCTGGCTCTCTGTGCCCCGTACTGTTAGCGTCATGTCAATGCGTGTATACAGCACTCCTTAGTCTTTAACACTAGCCAGCAGTCACCCATTCACACACACACATCCATACACTGGTGGCAGAGGCTCAGAGGCTGCCATACAAGGTGCCTCATGCTCAGGAGAGGTGCACACGCGTATCTTACCAGGACACTTTGACATGTAGACTGCAGGAGCAAGGGATTGAACCTTCTGATTAGCGACGACCTCTACCTCCTGAGGTGTGTAATGGTTTGACCCAAGGGCGTAGGTTTGGTCTCAGCATTGGTAGGGACACTGGCAGCCCCCCCCCCCCCCGCCGCCGCATCAAAAAAAGTCTTAGTTGATATCAGGGGCGTTTCTAGGATTCAAAGAAAGGGGGGGCTTAGCCCCAAGGGGAGTGGCATGTTTTTTTTGGGGCCCATTTGGGGCCGCGGATATCCATTGTTTCAGACAGTTCATAGATTGGTTCAATCAAAGAGTGTGATTTTGCTCTGTAGTTTTGCTTGCATTCAGTATATGATAACACAAGAGACAGAATTTCAGGGTCATAGTGAAATTTGACAACACAAATATGAACGTTTCTCAAATAAAGAATATCCGCGTCACTCCCAAATCCTAATTCTTAAAGAGACCGCACACAATGGTTGGAGAATGGACCTGACAGTGTCAACTTCATATCGTTAAGTATGATGATAGGCTATTGGATTGTAATTTGAAGGGGGAGAAAACATACAAAACAGAACGCACGCACATATGTAGCATGTTAGAGTTATAAATAACTTGTCCATGTGAGAAACAATAGTTTAATTTAATGACATCACCAAAATATATATATTTTTTTTCTTCTTTTTTTTTTTTAAAGCCAATAATGCCAAATTATTTGGGGGGGGCTGAAGAACATTTGAGGGGGTCTTCGATTACAATTTTTAATTTTCAATGCGATTAATCGCGATTAAGCTTATTGTTATGGCAAAGTTCAATAATGAATTCAAAAGTAGTGTATTGCGCACTTTTATTTTAAAAGTACTGCTATATGAGCAAAAGGTCAATGACATTTGGTTTGTAAACACTTTAAACACATAAGGTGCTTTTTAACAGCAGTATTCCCTAGCAGTTCTATCTCTTCACTATCTGTGCTCAGTGTGTGACTTTATGTGAAACGTTCCACTGCTGTGCAACAGGAATAAAATGTTTCAGCTAAATGTCTGTCTTCATGACAGTCGGAGCATGTGAATGCAGCTCTACTGTTCATCAATATAATGCTGTAACTCAGAGGTAATGATGGTGACCCAGGGATCAAAGAATAAAGACACTTTACGCACAATTTAGGTGTATTTTCCCTTTAACTCACGAGATACTGGTAGTATGTTTTATACTTAATGTGAATATAAGTCATACTTTGTTGGCATCTTATTCTGAAAAGCGGATGTTCGTCTGAAGAAACCGGATGTTGTCTAACGTTAATCTTTCCGCTAACTTTCACGGTCCTTCGCTCGCTGCCGATCTGTGCCGTTTGAATGCATTTACCGTGAATTTCAGCATATATGTCACTAACATGTAAGTGTCTGCTGAGTTGACCACGGAGATCTGAGTGTCTGAGGCAATTAAAATTAACAAAATATTGGTGGGGACAATTGTGTCTTTCCCAAACTTTGGTCGTGACTAGTCGCTATGGACCCTATGCAAACCTACGCCCTTGGTTTGACCATTTGAAATGGTCTAGTACAGTGATTCTTAACCATGGGGCCACCTAGAGGGCCGCAAAAAACTTTCAGTTTTGCAGCTGTGGGCCGCGGGACCGCATAGGTTATCAATTGAAGACACCAGAGATATTACTGTTATCCATGAGACGCTCAGTTACAATATAGCTTGTGGCGGTAATGCATCAGTCAGTTGTTTAACAAGCTCCAACTAGAAAATGCATTTCCTGCTGAAAATGCGTTGGAATGCTGAAATCTGAAATTAATTGCAAAAACATTGCTGAAAATAGATATCCAATTAAAAAAAATTGCAAAAAGCTTAATAATTCAAAAAGTTTAAAGATTACAACTATGAAAAGTCATATCACCCCTCTACTGAAAGAGCTGAACATTTTGATATTCGAATGGTTTCTGTGGCTTAAAAAATTTCATCAGTGGTGATATTTGTAGTAGTAGAAGTTGTAGTCGAAGTATTATTAGTAGAAGTATTAGTAGCATTAGAATAAGTGCTAGTAGTAGCAGTAGTGATATTTGTAGTAGTAGTAGAAGTTGTAGTAATAGTAATGGCAGTAGAAGAAGTAGCAGTAGTAGTAGTACTTGTATAAGCAGTTGTACTAATAGCCGTAGTAGTAATACTACTTGTAGTAGCATGAATAGCAGTAGTAGCAGTTGTAGTATAAGTAATAGTAGTAGTGGTAGTAATAGCAGTGGTGGTAGTAATAATATTGATGGTAGCATTAATAGTAGTAGTAGTAGTAGTAGTAGTAGTAGTAGTGGTAATACTACTGTATATTAGCAGCAGCAGTAGTAGTTGTCGCAGTATTAGTCAGAGCATTACGTTTTTCAACAAAAAAGCCTAATTTTGAGCTTAACGTTTAAATATAGTTAATCCATAAGGTTTTATTTTTGAAAGAGTGGGGCCGGGATGGGGGAGAAAGGAGAGGAGACAGAATCAGAATGTATGAAACAGAGGTTATTAAATGACAGTCTTCATCGAAAGCATTCCAGTTAGATTTCACTCTGTGGGGCTTTTATTTTGAAAGGGTGGGACTGGGTGGGGGAGAAGAGACATAATCATAATGTTTGACACACATAAACAGAGGTTATTAAATGACAGTGTTCATCACAAGCATTTCAGGTAGAGTTCACTCTCTGGGGCTTTTATTTTGAAATGGGGTGGGGGGGGTGGAAAGTCCTCTTAAAATCTCTAAGACCTGAATGACTGTATGAGAGAGAGACAGAGAGAGAGAGCCTGCGTGCGTGTGTGTAACTGGTTGCCATGGTGATGACGCACCTGGTGTTAGAGGCAGACTGATTAAGAAACATTACAGTAAACAGTGATTTTGAACAAAGCCCCTTTTAACAAAAAGCAGGAGCCTGAGTGCCAAAATATGGATACCGTGAGAAAGATAAGACTCTGCCGAACGCGGAGATGTGTTTTTTATGTTTGTGGTATTAAAAATGTGAGCTCCAGAGCAATAGACAAAACTGGTACCGTCTGCTTTCTTTGAGAAATGAGTGGTCAGATTTAACATGGAGTCTAATGGAGCACTTTGTTGGAGTTCATGTTCAAAAATGAAGAAGCAGAAGAGTTTCAAAAAAGAGGGGACGGAAGAAATATAATAAAAGGTGGAATAAAGAATAGGATAACAATAGTTGGAATGCTTAACAGCATTCCAACAATAAGCAGAAGACGACACTCAGCTAGCCGCTAGCCTGTAGCGAAAGTTATGGATAAGTTTTTAAAAAGAAAAAATGAAGACGACAGTGGTGCCATACCCCCCCCCCCCCCCCAAAAGTCTAAATGTGTGCGCAAGTACAATCCTGACTTTCTTAAGTACGGCTTTGTGAACGGAGGCAGCGAGGCAGAGCCGAGGGCTCAGGTGTGGAATGTGGGCTAATGCTATCAAACGAAGCACTGAAGCCTTCAAAAATAAAGCGACACCTGGCCACGAAACATCCAACGCTCGTGGGAAAGCCTGTTGGGCTTCTTGTTGTGTATGCAGGTTTACATACACATGATAAATAAATGTCTTTGTGATCATCACATTGTATCATCTCATTTATTTGACAAGGGTTGTGCCTGTTCAACTCCACGAGGACGCCAGCGTCCTCGATCCCCTCCCCTTCCGTTCCTACAACTTGCTTGCGCAAACTACGTCACAAAACATGGCCGTGTTTGGTGTCCCAGCATGCCCAAAACCCTCATCTTTGCAAATAAATCATCGATTTTCTTTCATTTCTTATGGATTTTTCACAAAAAACACACACACTGTCCAAAGTCACCATAACCGCTGCAAGTCGGATCTTGCAGCATTTCGACGGAAAAAGACACATTACAGACCCGACAATGTGCTAGCGGATGTTACCATGGAGGTAGTGGCTTCAGAAAACGCTAGTACTTATAGTGCAAACCTTGACTGTTTCTTACGTAAGCCGTAAACCAACGTATAACCTTTGCGTAAATGAGCTACCCACATACTCGACCGTGCGCTCGGTCGCAGCCATTACGCACAGCAAGTCCGCTACTCACACACCACGTCTTCGACCATATATACATAGTTTTTGCAATTTGCAAAGGCTAAAAATAAAAGGAAAATACTATAATATCAAAATATAAAGGGAGAAACACCTTTAGTGTGTCAGAATATCATTTGGTTACCATGTGTCCATTTGGGTCTCCAAATATCCTTTTAGAGCTCCGTCTGGATCTCTTCATGGAAGAAACACTGTAGAATGGTCATACTTTGTCCAATCTTCTTCAAATTTGTTCACTGATAGTGTAGTTACAGCCCTATACTGTCCTTTACCTGTACAGATACAGCCACAGGCAGTTATTTATACTGAAAGATACTTTTTTATTTTATGCGGACAAAAATCTTCAATTTGTACTGACTCCAAAGGCCCACTGCTCTGTTTCTGTGTGACCTACAGGTTTTCTGACACTTTTCATGCATATAGTCAGAGTGGTTCAGAAGCTACAGCCATTTTAATTTGGGTATGTCATTTTAGGCGGTTTTGCTCCAAAATAGGGGTGGAGTTGAACAGGTAACAATATAGTTATTGAATACAAATCAAACCAAGAGTGAGATCAATTAGTTAAACTAATAGTGTTAATATTTGAATGGGCCCCGGGACACTTTGTACTTGAAAAGTTGGGCCCCGAGGTCAAAAAGGTTAATCCTGCTCAGTATGAGAGGAACCGCAGGTTCAGACATTTGGTGTATGTGCTTGGCTGAGGAGCCAATGGTGCGAAGCTATCATCTGTGGGATTATGACTGAATGCCTCTAAGTCAGAATCCCGCCTAGACGTTTTAAGAACCCCTGGTCTAGTAATAGAACCACCAGTCCTGTATCCTTGTGACACAGCTGCTTTGCGTGTGTGTGTGTGTGTGTGTGTGTGTGTGCGTGTGCGTGTGCGCCATCAGTTTAGGACGGAGAGCAGAGCTGCTGGAGCAGATGGAGAGTCTCAGAGAGCAGCTGAAGATCCAGAGGAGGCAGCAGGTGAAGGAGTCTGAGGCGGCGCTCCACAGGAACAGCTCACTGCTGCAGGTAGTCAGGCTGATCCTGCATCCTGCTATGAGCCATACTGTTGCTGGGTGTGTTGGTGTGGTCTACTCACACACTGCTTTCACTGTGATTGGTTGAAGCTCTCCTGTGTGGCCGTGTACAGACTGTGCTTGATTGACACCTTGACTGCGTTTTTGAAAAAGTTAAAAAACAACACTGATTGATTAATTAGTGAGTCAACTGAAAATAGTTTAAGCCTTTAATCAAGTGAAGTGCTTTAAACGGGGCAGTACCTCTCATCGTTGGCTCAGGGGAATTTTCACTTTTTTGACATTTGTATTGAGTAAACAGCCAATCAATCAAAAAAGAACAATTTGGATTAATTGAAGATGAAATAGCCGTTAGTGGCAGCCATTGTACACCTTCACCCTCCTTGTGTTGGTGTTTCAGTGTTTGAACTGTTGTGAGTTTGTGTCGACGTTGCCAAAAGAAGAAGAATCTTTTGCTCTCTGAAAATGCTGGCTGGTTTATTCAATGCATTCATTATCTATAACCCAGGGATTTAGAAACATTTAAATGCATATTGAGTATATATGCATTGTAGGGCTAAGATGTGCATGAAGATGAAAGAGTTCATATGAACTGTTCCTGCAGGATTTACAGAAGATAGAAGAGCGTCTCAGAGGAGGATGGCGGCCCCGCCCACAGCTCCTGGCTCTGGAGGTACCACGCTTCTGTTTATCAAATGCTGGCAACTTTCTGACAGTGTCTTGCACCACAAGTTCACATTTCAGGTCAGATTTGCTGCTAATTTGCAGTTGTCTCTCTGTTCTAGACGAGATACTGGGCGTCTGTGGAAGAATCTCTCCCAGCCTGGGAGCACTTTCTCCTGGGTAAAGGCCCACACCCTACTCATGGTCCAGCACAGCCACCCAGAAGACCCAGACAGAAAGCCAGCACAGCCAGAGGCCAGGGCCTGCCTCCTCGCCCAAAACCCAGGACCGCTCCATCAGAGCGCTGATGCTGAACGAGTCCCTGCAGCCAGAGAGAGAGATTCTCAAACCCCATTCAGACCCTCCTTTATCAGCATCCTACCATCAGGGTTGGAGGCTTTGGTGAACAATGCTTTTCTCTGTGCAATGGATTCAGTGATACAAACATTTAGAAAGGAGAGAGAGAGGGAGAGTGAGCAAGAGAAGGGAGAACGAGTGTGTTTGAACTCTACTGCAGGCTGATGTCTCTGCCAGCAGTGTGTCCCCTGAATGAGACCGCTGTCAGAGGGACATGCACTAGTCCACTACAGACACTTCTATTTAATATTCATTCAAGCATTCAGGGATCATTTGTTGTCATTATGCAACACAGGGATGCACAACTACTTCATTTGTAACCCAACAAACACACGACAAACTCAAGTAAAACAGTCGTACATTCCTGTAGTGCATTAGTTTGAATTTGTGCCTTAATGAATGAAAAGAGCAGCAACAGAAACAATTCTCTGCTCAGATAACATGGCCGACATCTTCATATTAAAGATGAGGACAACACTGTCCATCAACTGTGACTGTGTTTGAGCACCAAGTATCATGATGTGAACACAGAGTCCACCAGAGTCCTGCTCTCTGTCCTGATGTCCGCCCCTCAAGTGCAGTTTGATCCTGAACCACGACGGATCCAGGTCTCTGTGAAGATGTGGGCTCAACAGTCGGCAACCTCCAGCTGCTGTCATCCATCTGGGCTCTCCTCCCTGGGGCCGTTTGGGGGGCCGTGGACCTCTGCACTGAATCCAACCCCCACGCAGAAGTTGAACGTATTCTGACATATCGATGGCCGAAGAGCAAAACCTGAAAAATCTGAAAAATTCCTGGATAATTTTGCAGATTGGATATTTTGCACTTGGTGCAAGTTGGAGGAGGTTCTACAAAAAGATGCTCTGAATTAAGTTTCAACAAAGGGCGGGATTATTTGAAGACAGACTGAATATGAACAGCCTTCCGTGTTCTCATCATCCAAAGTGAAATCCGGCAATCAGAAAATTCTGCAGATAGGAGGTTTTGCGTTTTGGCCCTTGATATGTCATTAGTGATGAACACTTTAAAAAAAAAACGAAGACAAAAATGTATCGAAATTCATGTACATGCGCCGTCGTTGCCATAGCAACTGATCTACAAATCGATGCATGAAGAGGAGCGATGATCACTTTAGATCTCCACTAAAGTCTGGAAAGAGAACATGCTGTTGTTGCTTTATTCTAAAATCATCATCAGACACTTCTTTGCGTTCATTTATTTCATCTTAGTTTTTAATTTTCTTCACTGTTTTTTAAGTAAAATATATTTTAAAATGAAGTTCATGACTGTACTGACGTTGTTGACAGTATAACATGGTATGTGTATTGAAAGCAGGATGTTGACTTTGTGACGCTGATGCTGAGTGATCTCTGCTGTCTGTTGTTCGCAGTGTGGTTTCACGACCACTAGAGGGAGCCAGTGTCTACACTCGAAGAGAAGAGAGAAAGCTTTGGACTCTGCATTACAAGATGAATGATAATCGTTTATCATATAGTTGTACACCACCATGTGGGAAAACACAACTCAAATGACAAACTGATCTATCTGATGTTTACAGCAGTGGAATCAGTTTTCTGCTTTGAATGCGTGATTTGTTTATATCTGACAATATGATCACGTGATCACAGTAGGATTCCACTGAGACTCTTTGTTTTAAATGAAGACACTGCTGTACTGATGGAATCAAACATTGATGCATTAAATAAGTTTGGTTTATTTTGTAGAAATTGTAGATTTTCATGAGTTCTTGAATATATATTACGTTGCTGGTATACCTATAGGCACCGGTACATCTGCAGCAGTTTGAGCTCTGTTGGTTGTAAAATGAGCCAACATGCATTATGACTGCCTCCATGATGTCACAGGGGCAACACCAACACATTGCACACTGTACATGTGAGTGAAGTAGTGTGTGGATGTACAGAACCGACAGAGGGGTAATGAGAGGAACATCTGACCATATGCAAAAGAAACGGGGCACCTGCTGGTTCACTGGGTGGACCCCCCCCTCTCTCTTTACCCCCTAATTGTCGGTGATCAGACCTGCGCTGGGCTGACGCGGAGTGGCGGCTTGACAAACGCAATCATCCGGACAGCCGGGGTTGAAGTGGCCCGTGGTTGGCAGCTGCCTTGGCTCCTCAGCTGGGGCCCCAGTGCTGCAGGCCCTCGGGGGCCAACTAGCCAGAGACTAGTCTGGGTGTTGGGGTGCTGGTTTAGTGAAGGGGCAGGACAGTGCTGTGAGGTCAAGGCCAGGATTCAAGGAAGCTAGAGGGGTGGGGGAGGTATTAAAGCTGTGTGTCCGATCACGGGTGACAGGATCGGATGGTGGGAGGGTGAGGGGGCGAGAGGGGTGATGAAGACGCCATGTAGTGAATTATCTAAAAGGGTTTTGAAGAGCACGATCTGGAGCCCTTCCAAATGACTAGCCCTGCATGATGTATTCTAATGGCCGAGGCCCCCGGGGCTGCTGGATCCCAGTCGCCCCTGTTGTCAGTGACCAGACCTCATTTCATCCTGCCAGCCAACAACGTTGACCCCCTCAGACGGCTGCCCGGCTCTCCTCCAGCCCTCTGTCCCTGGTGCCATGGATCCGGAGCCATGCGATTATGCAACATGGTTTGGCTATTGAGAGCCCACTGAGAGCCCTGACAGATAATTGGCTGAGCCCAGAGCCGCGCAAATGGTTAAGTGTGGACTCCAGTTGATTGGATAATGGGTAATTGCACGCTGCATTTCATTCAGTGATATGCTGCGGGTGTAGCAGGGGCAAGTGAAGGGGAGGGAGAGAATGGAGGAGGGAAAATATTTTGGCGTGCTGCGTTTTTTGCAGCCCATTATTTCACACTTTGGGTCTGTTGCATTTGTTTGGATCTCGAGCACGGAGAGATCACAGATTTGTATCAACTGCCGATGCCATTTAAATTGCAAATGACTGTTGAAGTTTATTGTTGAAGAGTATCATTTTCTCTCACTGGGACTTCAGAGATCGGAGCGGCCGCTGAGCGCTGTGCCTGGTGGCGCTGTTTGAGGCTTCCCTCTGACCCTGAGTGAGCCTGTAAGTCCAGAGTCTGTCCTTTGATCATGGGATGTCACCTCTACTTAGGAGCCCGGGCTGCCAGCTCTTTGTCTCCTCCGTCACAGAGGCCTCCATGGTTGTCATGTTGCCTTACATTAAGTAGAAGGCTTCATGTTGTACACTAAGAGGAAGCAACACTGGCCTTAAGGTAGCCTGGCTCGGCTCCCCGTGGACTGCACCACACAAGTGTAACATTTCCTCTTTAACACTGTAATCACAAACCTCTCGGCTCTCCTGCAGCCCCTTCCGACACAAAAAGCTTTTTTCATTTTTTATTTTTGAAATGACCTGCACTCAAACAGAACCAGCTTTCTGGAGCTAATGTGAGAATCCTTTCCCGGCTGGACTTGAATATACTAGAGCTGCATTTTGTCTCTTAGAGAATCGCGGTGGGGGGGGGGGTTGCGCTTGCTGAATTCCACTTCACTCGCTGTATCGAGTCAGAGTGTGCGGTGCTATTCATATCGACTGGCGGATTAAGTGGGCTGCTGAAAGGACACGTACAAATTTTGTGTTTGTGTTCTTGCGCCTTTTGTTGATATCGATTGTGCCTTGGCATGGATTCCCACATGGCACCGGCGCCTTGTGTTTGATTCTTAATGAAGGCCTTTATCACGCTCTAATCAGTTTACTATCACACATACGAGTCAAAGCAAACACTTCAGTGTGTTTCTTACTTGAGAAAAAGCACACGGGTAATCACTCATCTGATTGGGTTTTGACTGCTGCAGTGCCACGTTAAAAACATCGGTAGCTTTTACGGCAGAGAGGGACATCTTATCACACCTGGTTTACTACATCACACACATCAGGGTAGATTCAGGAAGTAGTGTGCTTTTACAGAGACATGGTCCCAATCCCAACGTCCCCTCAGGCCGTAAACCCTAAGCCCTCTGGGATTTAACTCACGTCACTTGGTAAATGGTTGAGTGTGAGAGGCCGCAAGGGCCTCAAATGGCATAAATATGCCATTTGACTGTATGTAAGAAGTAGACGTAGTCACCTCGACTATAGTTTTGAAGCCTTTGGTTTGGTGTTTTGGTCGCCCCCATCTTGGTTTTTGTAACCAGAGAGACATCAGAGGGTGGAGCTAAGTACTATTACCTTTCATGAACTGAAAACACACTGTGAAAGGTTTAAAGTTATGAGATGAAAACACAGAAAGCTCTCAAACCACCTAAAGCATCCCCTGCTTTATGGTCTGTTTGACTCTAAATGGACCATAATGTACTAAATGAACATCATGCTGTATTGAAGAAGACTTGAAACTAGAGATTGAGACCATAAACTCATGTTTACAATGTTTACTGAGGTAATAAATCAAGAGAGAAGTAGAGTCATTTTCTCATAGACTTCTATACAACCAGAGGAGTCGCCCCCTGGTGGACACTAGAGAGAATGCAGCTTTAACACATGAAGCTTTGACTTCAGACCCGGGGGTCCTGATTCTGACTAGGTGTCTATATGACAAGTTGGGAATGACAAAGGGTTGAACCTTCATAATGGAGTCAGTTTGGTGACTAAGAGGTTTGTGACGTAACATTAAGGTGTATGTTGTCTCTCTGTTCTAGACGAGATACTGGGTCTGTGGAGGTACTATCACATTGGCTTCACTTTTCAGAAGTGGAGGTTGTCGCCTGATAAATATGAATGGGACAGCACTTTACGGCAACTTACGTTACCTTGATAACACCGAAACTTATTATTACAATTGTGGGTTTTGTTCAGTGTCTGATTTGAACGTCTTCTAGGCTCTTGCCTTACAAGATGAGAGGTAATTGTTAATTAATCTATTTACACATTTCTGTTAAAACAGATTCAATAAGCAAAATGAAAATAAGTAGTTGTTGAAATAAATTCCATGTGTTTAATTCTTAAATCCTTAATGTTTCTGTTTACATTGAATGTGCCAGTCTTAACCATGTGCCGTCATCATTGTTTCCTTTCTTTAACGCCTCGAGGCTTCCCCCTGGTGTTTAACATCATAACTCTATGAATTGTGGGTAATTCTCTTAGGCAAAGACTGCAGCAATGCCGATCTACGGAAAGTGTGGATAAAGGGCTGAAGATGTCTGTGAGAGAGCCCTCAAACACTCCATGATGTGACAGTGGAACCGAACTACAAGCCTCAATGTCCGGGAGTGTTGGCGGTGGGAGGCTCTCAGCTCTGACCAGGGTCCTACAACGGACCCTGCTCCACGGACCCTGCTCCTCGGACCCTGCTCCTCGGACCCTGCTCCCCGGACCCTGCTCCACAGACTCTCATCAGTGGTTTCAGATGTTCCTCGTGTTCAGGCTGCTTTAGTGGATTTGAAGCGTGTCTTGGTTAAACGTTGAGTAACAGTGATACTCGTTACCCAGAGAGGTTGAAGGAGAGATATGTTTGTAAATGTTACGTTTACCTAACAACCTGTGGAGCTAACGTTAGCAGAGTACGTTAGCACATCATTAACTAGCATTAGCACCGCTATGCTAAGCTAGCTACTGAAGGCATACTGAATGTATACACATGCTGCTTTAGCTTTTTAATGATTGAATAAAGAGCTACTCAGTTTTACAGGAACACTGCTGTTCCTTCATGTCATTGTCTTCTGTCTGGATCTCCAGGTGATGTGGTGCTTCACTTTTACACTGATCTGTAGCTTTAGCTTCTGTCTTTTTCTTTTTAACCGGTTTAACATCCTGGATATATCACAAACACACATTGCAGCCCTTCTGTATGCATCTGTGGCTTCACTTTTTCGTTAGTGTGGGCTGCATCGTAACGCTGTCAGCTTGACAGATACATTTGTATTAGAACAAAAAGGAACATCCATGTATTGGATATGATTCAAAGATAGCACATAAAACAGCTAACAATCTAAACTGCACCTCTTCTCTACTCAAAGCATTTGAACAAACACCTTGTGCAGAAATAAATACGCATTTTACAACTCAAAAAAAATAAAAGCACAAGATAATTTATAACCAACGTATAATGTTTAATATTCATATGACCAGCCAAAAAAAAGTAACTAAACAGAATAATATCATTAAAAGTTAAGCAATATGTAAGAAAGTAATTGGCACATGAAAAGAGAAATGTGTTCAATCTGGATTTAAAAATTGCAGCATTTGGTGCAAATCTAAGATCTTGGGCAGTTTGTTATGGACGGTGCAGCTGAGCTGAGTCCATGGATCTAAAGTTCATTTAAATGTATACAAACAAACATGAGCTCCAGATTCTCAAAGGTGGGGACAGCTTCTATAGCTTCTTTACATAACTGTAAATTGAATAGCTTCGTGTTTTGCAGATCAAAATGAACAGGCAGTTTGAAGACATCCCTTTGTTCTCTGGGTATTGGTCATAATTCATGATGTTTTTAAGATGAAATGACAAAAAGCATTGTGATGTGTTGCCCTGCAAGTGAATGTTTCCACAACTCATTCATCACTAAGCGAGTTCATCTCAGTCAGCCTCTTGTTGGCTTAGCCTGGCTCAACTAAACCTAACATCAGTGATCCTGGATGATCTGTCCAAATGTTAAATCCCTGACAAAACAACTTCAAAAGCTTTGTAACAAACTGCCAATCATATAGTCCATTTATTAAGGGATGATCCCTGTAAGTCAAATAAAGAATCAGTGAGGTAAAAGATGCTGAATCTATCTACAGCAGCTCATCTACACTTCTATTAAACCTCAGAACCGCTGCTTTCATCTCTACAGTCTTAGTATTATCAGCACTATTTAAGCATGAAAACATGCTGTTGCTGTTATTTCATTTGTTTTAATGTCTAGTGTGTTTAATGTGAGCGAGCAGAGTGCTTCATCACTCACACGGTGGCCTGAAGTGAAGGAGGAGAGGCCGTTTCCCAGCAGGGCCGGGTCAGGTCAGAAGGATTAGCCGTGGCACCGGACATCCCCAGATCAACTGATCCTCCCTGACAAAGACACACGGCTCTAATGCCACTAGAGGAGATGTGAGTTCAGCCGGAGCGTGATGGGGAAAATGGCTCCCTGCTTTGCAGCGGCAGATGATCAAATTAATTTGCTTGTAATTAGCTGGACAAAGAGATGCATATTTGAATAGACTGTGATGTGTGTGTGTGTGTGTGTGTGTGTGTGTGCGTGTGTGTGTGTGTGTGTGTGTGTGTGTGTTAATTTGTCTTGTCGGCATCATTTCATACTTTTTTGTTTGTTTTTCACTAATACATAGTACTAAATATTACTGTTTGATTTTGTTGTGGTGTCCAATAGCAGACCCAAACTTTACTGACTCTGTTCACCCAATAGTGTAACCCAATATGATTGCACATCTAATACACGTACATTAATCTGTGGGACTCAGTGTGTTTAACACCATGTTTACACTGCAGGCCGTGCCAGCCAAGTCTGCATTCCTACTACATCTGATGGCCATATGTTTTCATGCATACAATGACTCATAATTGTGTGTTAACACTGAGAATAAGCTCTTCTCATCACAAGGATGGGAGAATGGAGTACAATAGTATATATATATATACATATATATATATACAGTATATGTATATATATATGTATATATATACATATATGTATATATATATATATAT